CTCGACTCATTTGACACCACTAATTTATCCACCCAAGAGCCATAAGCTCACCTGACATGACATCAAAAGTTGATCCCCACAACTTCTTGCCTTCGCTTCTGTCATCAGAGGGTTTTAACTCGTCAGGTGACAAAACCATTTGTACGAGTTCTGGAAAACTATATGTCTCATACAATGCTTTCATAACTCGTTCATAAGTGAACTATGTGTTGACAAACATGAATTTGACATCGCGTGTTGCTAAATTGAGTGCGAGCTCCATAGCGGGAATCGCATGGGCTTCTGCTAGAAATGGTATAATCAAAATATGAGGGTTTCTCATTGTTTTTCCTTTTTTCTTCTGCCTCGAATGTTGCTGATTCTCAATCGTATTTGAGCTCATTGACAGCCTCATGGATAACGCCAGTTTCAATTATGGAATATGCTACTTGTACATAATTCTACATGCATAATGGTGTCCGCACACTCATATGTGTCAGTGATATTATATTGTTAAAGAAATTAATGACTATGATAAATGCCATGTGGGAGAATGTCAAAATTAATATAAAAGCAAATACATATGTAGCATAATTATTGGATTATCCCTATTTTTTTCAAAGATGGTGTGAAATTTTACCACGTATTATTTCTCTAAACCATGTGGTATCTGTAGCATTCGTATGCTTTAATGAGATTCACGTGTTAGACCAACTAGAGATTGTATCGTTTTTGTCTTCACCTAGCAAATAATGGAGGCAAATTAATTATTCTTGTCCATGTTTACAAGGAATATGCAAAAAAAATTGAAAAATATATTTTTTTGTTTTGGTTTCTTGTTCTAGATGAATAAGCCTGTGCAAACTCATGAAACAAGTTTGAGTTGCCCACATGTTTCCTATTAAAAAATATTACTTTCCATTGAATAGAGAATAAAAGGTATACATATTTGAAAACTTGATGTCTGGCTGGGGCTTAAGAAGAAAGAGTTATTTGGTTGGATGACATGTGCTCATAAGTGCAATACCAACATATGTTTGGATGGATGTGTTTACTCGTAAAATAAAATACATATGTTTGGATGGATGTGTTTTCTCTTGTACTTGTCACCCAATGTTTATGCTGTAACCAAAATAGGGGTGGGTCTATGGTTTTCTCCTTGGGTGCAACAAGTTGAAAGTGTTTGTTTTTAGTGGAAACCTGTGAAACTGTTAATAATAAAGAATTTTTTTTTTCAGACGGCAATAATACATATTTTTGAAAATTCAAAGAGAACATTTGAATGATGTAGACATTGCTTTTTATGGTGTCTTATTTTGCTGAATAAATTACAATCAAGATTCTCACAAATACAACAGAAACTTTTTAATCTTTAATCCATGACAAGAAATCATCAAAATTCTTGTGAGAACTCCCTCCTTCTCTAACACTATTCAGAATCTGTGCTTGAAGATCCAACACCCTTCCTTTAAATCCTTCTTCACCCAAGACTCTTTCCAACTTATTCTTAATTTCTTCACGTCTGATGATTCCACTTTCATCTTTATTCAGTTCCAATCCAATCTTCCAATAATCACAGATGTAGCTCTGATTGAATATCTGATCTCCAAAATAAGGCCAACAAAGAAAAGGGATTCCATTACTTATGCCTTCAAGGGTAGAATTCCAACCACAATGGCTCATGAAACAAGCAGTAGAAGGATGAGATAGGACTTTTTGCTGCGGCGCCCAGCTCACTATACACCCCCGACGATCCATTCTTTCTTTGAAGCCTGTTGAAGAAAGAATTTAATCAAATAACAACACATTTTCCTTCTTTAAAAGTTTTAGTAAAGATTATGAGAGCATCTCATTGCCAGTCAATAACGAAAAAGATGCACGTGTGTTTTGTGGTGATGAAAAGGAATTCATATGCACATGATGGGAGTGTTGAATACAAATTTTAGATTATATATATATATAATTTTATTTTTTCTCACTCTCTAAAAACTTAATCTTTTAAATGATGTGGTCTAATGAAACCTGTTGGATAAGCATTGTTGAGATCTTCAATTATGTTTTCCCGCACAACCCACAAGAATGGCATATTGGTGAGTTCAAGGCCAAGAGCTAGTTCTTCAAACTGATTGCGGTCAAATAGTGTGGAACTCCCAAATGCAACATAAACGACAGAGTGGGGTGGCTGTTGATCAAGCCACGCCAAACAACCTGTAGAACACAAAATTCAAATACTGTGAAACTAAAATCACTTGTCGCATCTTTCATGGGAAAACAATCGTTACACAAAATAATTGCAGAATATAACAATAGTATTAACTAAGGAAAAACAAAACAGAAAATGAAATTGTAGAAATATATTAATCGCTAAAGCATAGAATGAATCTTCAAATGAAGGCCTGTGTACTAAACAATATCCTTGAAACAGATTCGCTCCGTCTCCCAAGATACAACAGAGGAACCTCCAAAAATCGAGCACTGAATTTCTGCAGAAATCACTTATTGTCTCTCGAGATACAATGGAGGAACCTGCAGAAGTTGAGCACTGAATTTCTGCACCAACGAACTGTACTTGCACTAGAACTATACTATCACTACTATGACAGAAAACAGAAAACTATGCCATATGGAAGAAAAAAATAATTGAAATTAAGGCAAAACATGGAGCATCCTAAAGTTGTGGAAAGTCGCACCCGCATATAAATTCAAGGTTCGACGTACAATTCGGTCCAAGACTTGCACCCTTGCATGTAGGTGGAACGAGCATCTATTCTATACAGGATTACACCCTTCTAAAGCGTAATCATACATAAAGTGGTCATTGCCTTTATCATTTTCCTATATGGGACAACTCACACATAATTTTCTCTTCAACATAAAACCATCTTCCAATGCATCAACTTTGAGCTTCTATTTGTCATTCACCCGAGCATCAATTTTGGCAAGTAAATACATGATTTCGATGTTCTCATGGAGGAAAACACAAATAAACTTTGATATTCCAAAATTAACGAACGGAGCCTATTCAAAATTATGGCAAAATAGCCCACTAGCCATTTTTTTCCAACAATAAATTCAGTCTGTGCATTATCAGAGTTGGAGTTGAAAAGGACAAAATTCAAACAAATTTTTATTTTCCCGTTCTTTACAAT